CTGAGGACGCTGAAAGACTGGATAGATTGGGAAAATAGCTTGAAGCAAAGAGACTCTGTGAGGTGAGCGGTGAGCTGGCCACCTACTGCAGGCCCTAAGCTCCGGTGACCCCCGAGAAGCCGAAGTAAATTATTCATCGGGCGTCAAACAGCTTGTTTTTTGTGAAATGAACTTTCTCTCCCTCACCTCTTCACCGATCTACACTAACCAGAAGAATAATTAGCTATAAGGGCACAGCCATTTTCAGACTTTAATCATGCCACAGAGAAGTCTCCTGTGGTGGGCATATAAGAGCGAGACCAGACGGGGGTGAAAAATGAATGAAGCGTTGACGGACACTCAAGAAATTTCTGCTGCTGCTTAGGTGTTTAATTAAAAATGTATGTCATTTCAGATATGAAGATTTAAAGTCAACAGCCAAAGGGGAGTCGAGTGCTTATTGAACTTGTCAGCTGCCACGGAAAAGCAAATGTTTTAACCATTGTCAGGTGGCTAAATGGACAGATTTCACTTGATTTACTCAAGATCCGACTTTTATGTGGGGTAATACTGGACTCAGACCTGAACTTTAACAGCCACATTAAATCAATAACGGCAGCCTTTTAACATCTCAAAACAAGGCCAGAATAAGAGGAATAGTGTCTGAACCGAGAACCTAGAAAGGAAATACGACCACATCAGTCCAGTTCTCAGCTCTCTACTCTGGGAAGTTTCTTCATGGTCAAGCAACAAAATATGTTTCTGACATGTTAGAGCCATATGAACCATATGAATCAGACTCTGAAGTTCTCAGAGTCCGAGAACCTCTGGTCTCCTGCTGGTGCCCAGAGTCAGAACTAAACAAGGAGAGGCTTCATTTCAGTTTCATGCTCCTAAAATCTGGAACAGTCTTCCTGAGGATGTGAGACAGGCCCCAACTCTGACAATGTTCAAATCCGGGCTGAAAACGGTTCCGTTTAACTGTGCATATGGAAGCTGAATGTATTTAATCCGCACCCTTCACTTTTTATCTATCTAATTCATTATGTTGATTAATTTTCTTTCTTTGAAATTCTTTGTAAAGCTCTTTGAATTCTCTTCTACATGAAATGTGCTATGCAAATAAACGTGCCTTTTCTTGTGTGGCGGGGGGATATTATCACATTTTAAATCTATTCAGCTCAGGTGTCAGGGCCAGCAAAAGAAAAAAAAGATTAATGTCATCATTTCTATTTATCCAGTCCACTGTAAGTGACTGTGAACACAAGAATAACATACTATCACCTTTTAGCTTAATGAAATACAGATAAAGTTCAACGTTAACATGAATTTCTATATAGTTCTTCTTATAGAGTCACATCACTTGTAGCGTTGATATCTTTTTATTTTCACTTGAGATATATAAGGTTTTTGATGCTCCACTTTTGCATTTAGTTAGTTTTAAAGTTCAATTTAATGTCATTTTCCTTTGGGCTTACAGAGTAAAGTAACAGAACTCATGATACAGGGAACCAAGAAATCCACTTGGAGTCAAAGCTGGTGACGTAATTAGAAACGGAAAATTACAAAAAGCAACACTCAAAATCCAGAAGCCTCAACTAGTATAAAAAAATGCACAGAAAAAAAACCCTTTCATAACCAAAACAATAATTTCAAGGAATATGAATACAGCAGGCAGATCTGCCTGTGCTTACCTTTCTAGTAAAGCTATTTATAATTTTAGCACACTCTTGCAAAGCAAAAATTGCAAAAAACTGTTTTAATATGTTATAACGTAAATAATCTGCAGTCTTTGTTGCAGTAGTCTTTAGCATATTGATTCATCAGCGGTCCTTTAGCTCTGTGAGACTTAAAGCACAGATTTGAGCTAATCCCACAGCTTATCTCTGCTCTTTATCACAGTAACAGTGTGCTTCTATCAGCGTATCACCAGGGGAAGGGGGTTAAAACGGTGTACCTGTCACTGCAACAGGCTGATTACTGCCCGCGGAGCAGGCGGGCTGGTGAGGATCGCTCTCTTCCCTGTACTTCCTGCTGGGAGAGAGGCCTGGGGCCTGTGCTCACTGAGCCTGAATGACTCACAATTACCGCGGCGACGGAGCCCGCAGCCACCTCCCATCTTCTCCAGCCGTTTCACTGACTCACTTAGCGCACATGACAAATGACAAAATCACCCCGAGCCTCCGCCCCCTCGCCAAGACTCGACTGCCCATCGCCCACACTTTGCCCAAAGTACTTCACCGCCGGAATACATCTTGCCAAGCATCATGAAACAAAGCAAACACCCTCTGAGAGAAATCTGCTCTGCTGGCCTTGGCTGTCCAAAATATCAAGAGATCCCAGCAAAGTGAAAAGGGGGAATTCACAAAAACGCTGCTAAACTTTGAGGGTATTCTTTACCATTTCTATTTGCTTACAAAGCAGAAAAACCAGTGGGAAGAGTGCTGATAGTTGGATCCTGCACCTCATATACTTCCCCAGTTAAATGCAGGGAGGCAAGAGAGTTGTAGCAGTATGCAGTTTTTCCAAAATGGAAAGGAACTGTAGTGCTTGTTAAAATATTTAATGAGGCAAATATTTTCTGCTGAGATCACACAATAGACGGGACGCATCCTTCACCAGGCTACGTCACATACGTGCAAATAGCAGGGAAAACTATCCATTTACCTGCAAAAGCTCTTGCTTTTTGTTACTGTAGAGCCGCAGCTTGTGTGTCTTTGACAGCCAAACCGAGCACAATCTTACATTTGTCTTTGACAATGATGCAGTGTACTGAATCTGACACTTCCAGTGGTGGCAGACACTTAAATCTTCTGTTGAACAATAACACACTCGCACTTCATCTCCCCTCACGCGGCTCAGTCTCGCAGACTCTATAATGAAGACTGTGCAAAAGAGAGAGGGATAGGGGGATTCGCTGCTTAATGTTTATGCAGCGACGGTGCATTTCAATGTGTTTTTCGCTCACATACGCTTGCGCCGGCGAGAGAAGCACTGCCAGAACCATCTTCTAACCAAGGGCAGTTTCAAAGACATCAATGGTGACAAATTTTTAAGAAACCCCGAGGGTCTTTTTGTAGGACGCCACGGGGCCTCCTAAGTGCCATCTGGGAGGCAGGCGGAGGGCTCCCCTCAGTGCCCAGCAGCCATCAGTCCATTGAAGAAGAGAAATCAATCACAAACTAGTCCATCAATTGGAGCCCCGGGGAATGGTGTGTCATCAAAGTCATCTTGTCGGCATCTTGTTTGTCCCTTTCCCCCCCAAAAAACAAAAACAAAGAGATGTTTGAAAAGATTAAAATCAATAAGACCGTAGCTCTTTTGTATGTTATCGTTAGTTATGAGTTAATGCTTTTCAAAACTGCCAGATCCAAGAGGTTGAGGTCATTGTCGCTGTTATCTGCCAAAGGATGTGAGCTGCAGTGTAGCGAAGCAGCAGACAGGTAACCAGAGCACAGGGCATCTGCCCTGTAACACCCCATGGGAGGAGAGGGAGATTAAACGAAGAGGGGAGTCCTCTCAGCTGAGTCCACATATCCGACCGCAACCACATCAGTGGGAATCCTGTCTTAGCAACTGAAATGCAATACGTGTCATTATGAAAGGAAATACATGTTTTTTTACTGAGACGGAGAATCAATATCACTGACTGACTGCTCTGCAAGTTAACAAATGCGAACGAGCTGGAAAAACCTGCATAAAACGGAATAGAAATGAGTTGGACTTAATAATCCTGACTAAGCCGGTGTAAGGAAGCCCTGGCAGTCAAGACAGTAGATGGATCAGAGCACAGACAGGGATGCATGCATTATGCATCACTGTAAAATCTCCCTGGTGTGGAACACACACACATTCAGTCACCCCAGCATTCACATTTGCATCGCTTATTGTTTGCCTTCACCACAGCTCAGAGTCGCACAAATGATACACGTGTACGTCCTACGCTGACAGATCTAAAGGGCTGAATATTTCTGCAGCGCAATAGATAGAAAAACTATCTGTTAATAGATCATTACCATTCAATAATTATCCTCTCACATTCTTTCACCTCACAGATAAGATGGGGCCGCTGAGCACAGCAGTCCTGTGTTATCTGTTAACATTTGACAGCTTTGTGTGCGCACAGATACAGTTTTTTTCTTTAATTAAAACACTGGAAGTCTTAATTGGACATTACACTTTATTTTCGGGCCTTCCCGTCGGCGCACCTCCCTTTTCTGAAACACTTTGAAACTGTTTCCTCCGCTCTGCTTCAGAAACAAAAAGTGCAGATTCCACTTAGATTCAGGACGTTTTTCAGAAAAATACACAAGATTTTCCTTCATTTGTCCCACAAAGGGGAAATTTAGGGATATATATGTAAAAAATATATGCATGTGTGTCTTATATTTCAATATTTTTTGAAAATGTATTCAAAGGGGATCTTTTCATGCAGTTCCGGCGAAAATGGGATTGGGACAGTGAGGTGACAGGCGGACAAAGTTGGAAATGTAGAGTAGTGCACCCATGCACAATAAGAGCATAAATCAACCTCTAACCTTCGGTGTCAGAGAAAGAACTGTTAGAGAACATTTTGAAACTGTGGCGCTTTGGTGTTTTCTCCAGTCACAAATATTGATTAAACGGAGTAGGACCACAGGGGCAATACACTCGATGTGAATTCAGTTTTGGTGGAGATTTTTCTGTTCAAATCTGTTCTTTGATCCCTCTGGCCCCACAACCTGCACAGTGAGCTCAGGGAATTACACCGGCTCTGTGCAAACTCGACATAAAGGGGTAGTTTCTCCTGCAGCTGAGGTAAACATAAGAATGTAATAATAGCACTGCCTGTAAAATTTCAAGCATCTATATATATATTTTTATATATATATATAGAACATTGATAGAATGTCAGACTTAATACTTTTAGAGCTGTAAATGGTAAATTAAGTATCGATTAATCTTCTGTTTGCTTTCTGAGCACGATTCTTTCTACCTTGCTAATAGTGCTCGCTTCTCTGTTTTGTTCTTCTGTCCTCCAGGTGGTGATGGGACAAGAAGAAGATTCTTCTAGCCCAAAGAGCTCCCCAGACGGCCCCTCCAAGACGGTTGGCCTTTTGAGTGGGCAGGCGTCCCTGTCGCCCCTGAGCCGCTGGATGCTCCACAGCAAAAGCAGAGCTGCCAATGCCACCTCTGTGGAGCTGCCCTACCGCTCCCCGGTCCCTTTCTCCAAGCAGGAGTTTTCCAAACAGGAGTTCTGGGAGATGTTGGGCAGCGACCTCCTCAAGCCCGACACCTCCAGCTCCAGGGTCAAACGCAGGCCAATCGTGAAGACCGGCAAATTCAAGAAGATGTTCGGATGGGGAGATTTCTACTCCAACATCAAGACAGTGAGGCTTAACCTGCTCATCACCGGCAAGATCGTCGATCACGGTAACGGCACGTTCAGCGTATACTTTCGCCACAACTCCACAGGCCAGGGCAACATTTCGGTCAGCCTGGTGCCCCCCGTCAAGGCTGTGGAGTTCGACCTGGAGCGCCAGAGTGTGGTCTACCCAAAAGACTCAAAGATCTTTAACTGCCGGGTGGACTATGAGAAGGTAGATCGAAGCAAGCGCACTTCGTTGTGCAACTACGACCCATCCAAGACCTGCTTTCAGGAACAGATCCAGAGCCACGTGTCCTGGATTTGCTCCAAGCCTTTCAAAGTCATCTGTATCTATATTTCCTTCTACAGTACGGACTACCGCCTGGTGCAGAAGGTTTGCCCAGACTATAACTACCATAATGAGATGCCCTACCTGCCATCTGGCTAGAGGAGATGTAGGGGGGAGGAGAGAGGAAAAGGGGGAGGACGGGAGTGACTGAACATGAGGAAACTAGTGCTGTAAATGCCAGAGTGGCAGCAAAACACATAAAAGAAAAAAAAAACATTTCTGTAGCCAGACTATTGTAAGATGTAAAAAAATATATATGCAAAACAAACCCTACAGTATGCAGATAATGAGGCATTTGAAATGCTTAACAACACATTCATGAACTGGACCGGAAAAGAAAAGCTAGCTCCACCTACATGCACATTCTTACCTCAGTCCTGTTTCAAAATGTCAGCTTCTCGCAAGTGTTCTCTCTTCCATTAACTCATGGGTGAATTTTGTCTGAATGTCCTTTTAATCACCATTTACACAAATGCTCTTTCGGCAGAGTGTGGTTTCAAAGGCTGTGATGATCCACTAATGAGATGCAGACCAGTTTAGAATTTATTACAATTATCATATTGCGTTTAACATTGCATGCTATCAAGTCATGATTTAAACATACCACGGGGAACATAAAGAATTAATTTCTCATGGAGTGCAGATGAATGTACAGTGTAACCAACCGCAGCATCATTAACGTTACACTCCAAATTTTCAAAGAGCACAGTTTTACCAGACAATGTCAGAAAGGTCCTTCTCATACTCTGCCTTCACCTCTAATTTAGGCATCCCGTAATTTCTTTGTCGGTGTGTGTTTACCTGCCGTATCTAATCACTGCTCATTCTTCAGTTTTATTGCCTCTGAATAAAATTCACAAAGAAAAGAAAATTGCCCGACCACAATTCGGAGCCATGGCTCAAGACAGATTCAGTGTGAGGGGGAATAACTAGATGGTGCACGGAGATAGAATTGGCCCTCCACATTTAACAGAGAAAGAGCAAGGTAGAGCGGTGAGAGACGGAGAGACTCGATGAGCTCTTTTAATTAAAGTGGAGAGGAGACGTAGAGTATGCAGCACCTTCTATTGTCCCCTCTGCATGAAAAAGATTACATTTTGTTGCTGTCAGGATTCCTGATTTCACGCCTTGATAACTTTGACTCTGTGAGGGAGATTGCTCCCTCCCGACAAAATTTCTACGCTCACGAAAGTCAGTCTGTTATCTTGAATAAATGAAATTATTATTATGATAATTACATATAATTTAATCTCTTTTAGAGCTAATTAAGGTTTCCATGAGAGGCTAAACGCATTCCTTAAAATCCAGTCAGCCGGAAGGGGAATAAGAGGACGTTCGTGAGGATTGTTGTGATGTTTATGTATGTAGCCAGCAGCCAAAGCTAGGTCTAGAGTTAACTGCTCTCATTAAGATAAATGGCTACTGGCTGGCCCATCTCATGTTACTCTCACAAACAATATCGGTGGAGAGCAGCACACAATGGAGAAATGAATTAGGTCTCTTGACATTTTGTGTGCTGAGAGGTTACTGCAGCCCGGTATACAGGGGCGCAGTGACTTTTTGGTTAATTAACAACCAACGGTCACAAGACAGGTGTGAGGAGCCATTAAACAGTGGTGTCAGAGATTCGGTTTTATGCCAATGAACTGTGACATTAGTGGTACAGAATACATCTGCGCGTGGGCATGCTTGGCTGGAAATGCACAACCGAGTCCCAGGTGGACACCAGCTGCAGAGAGCGGTCACCAAGAAAGCCGTCCGCTGCTGTGTGTGTGTGTGTGTGGTGGGGGGGTAGCACAAAGTCAGAAATAAACTCATTACTTTGGCTGCGCAGTGTGAGCACAGCAGCAGGGAGAAATGCAGCCACATGCCTAAAGACAGAGGCAAAAAAGCTGTAAATCTGCACGTCAAAGCTCTTCATTTTTCCTTCGGTCTTAAGAGAAAAATCTCATCGTTCAAAACAAAACCTGTCAGCACACATATTTCAGTCAGATAGCGACATCACTTGCATTTTAAATGGAGGTTTTCTGTCTCATACGTCTGTATTCTGAACACATTTCACAATAGCTTTGATCCCTAATTTGTAGAAGACGGATCAGTTTGTCTGCCTCTTTTTCTACTGTAAGTGTTACAGTGAGTTAGCACAACTATCGGTGCTAAGAATCTGAAAACATGCTGAGTCTGTCTCTGATTTCCTTCACTTCTTAGCAGCAGGTTGTGCTGTATTCATTTAAAAGAATACATGAATACCAAGCCCCCGTGGAACATATATTATAAGTTAGGCAGCATCTCAAACTGAATCCCTGACATCTTTTTGAAGGTCCTTCTCCTCCACTGCTGGATGGAAAACAAAGTTTCCTGTCCTTTAGATCCATTATCCAGCATCAACGTCTGCCTTCTGCTCTTTTCATCCATTACCACAGCCTCCAGCTCATCCCTGCTCTTTCCTCTCCAGGCATCTGCATGTTGTTCTGTCATATTCCTCGCTGTGGTCATGCTGTCCTCCTCTCCCTGAGGTTGACCTAGCCTACTGGCCTCAGCCTCCCTTACCCTGGGGCTGAACCCTGGTGTGAGGGGTTCCTCATCACCGCTCTGTCTGTGCTTCTGTTCTCATTTCCGAGATGAGCTGGTTAATCTCTGCGAACCTAATGTCTAACTAACTGAACATCAGCTGTGAGAACTCTGCTCTATCCCTCTCTGTCAATTTTCTCTCTATGTCTATATCCCATCAAACAAATGTGTGTGCACAGGGAGGTTTGAGATGTGATGGTTTAGGTACTTCCTTACCCCTGTTCAAAGCATCTTACATAAGCCCCTGGATTGGGAGGACATGAAACATCCTCGAGAGCATGCCAACGAAGTGCTGATCAGAGATACGCCCCAGTAACCTCAATACTCCCCCCCCTCCCCATCTCACAGGGCATCTGGAGAGAAGTTGGAAATTCAAACACGACGGGATGAAAGCCGGGCAACATGAGCCCGCAGCACGGTACAGATGTAGAAACAACAAGGACACATGTTGGGCTACCCACGGAGAAGAAACTCCTTCCTCTGCTCCTCACTGATCCTCTGATTTACAGCAATACACTCACCGAAGGCTACACCTTCTCTGCCTCTCCGGGGTGAGTTCGACCAAGGCTGCTGGTCGAAGTTAAACAGACATTCATGTTGCTGTGGGACGGACAGTGTTGTCATGGCAGCAGCTTTATTATTTACCCATTTGGTGCCAACAGACATGTGAATATTTGGCCTTAAAGACTGAAAGACAACATTGGTCCACTCAGCAAAGACTAGTTATAAAATATGACTGTCAAAGACATAATTATACCTGTGTGTATATATATACATACATACAAATATGTGTGTGTGTGCATATATACACAGATATGATATATATAAATATATATATATAAAAAGCTTAGAGTCCTCAGATCTGAATAAAATTGTATTTAAATGTGGGTCATGCAGTGAAGGTTGTTTGTTTTATCTTTTTGTTTCCTGATGAGTTTGTTTCTCTGTGTCATGTGGATGATATGATGGCATTTACTGTGGTTTTCAACATTCTAAAAATCAATAAATTACACAGAGGTACTTCAGCCACTTAAACTACAAAGAAGCAGGCTCTGGTCTTCTATCTGGTTGTACTCCCCATGCAGGTAGACTGTGTCAACAATGCTGCAGTCTCTTTTCTGTTTTATTTGCACACCCATACTGTGTGCCAGTGGCAAAAAAAAATGAAGAAAAAGAAGACGTGACAGAAATTTTTGCTCCAGGCTCTTGCAGATATACACGCAGAGAAAAAAAAAAGGGAGTAAAGGGGAGCAGGGAGGAAAATGGGGTTGAGTGAGAAAAAGGAAATGTTTCAAATGGAGTGAAGCATGAACACAGCTATATTCCCTAATTAGTGTCCTCTTTTTTTTTTTCAGTCCATTTCTAGTCTCTGCATCTTTGTTGTGCAACTTCACGCTCTTCTTTCATTTCAAAATGCAACTGACATTAAATTCATTCTACTTCTTAATTAAATCCCAGACAACTGTTAACGAGGGAATGGGTTCAAACATTCAGCTCACAACATCCTTTTAAATAGGATCGATTAAGGCATGGCTGGAGGCAAAGCCAGGCCCTCCACCCCATTGCCTCCACCCCCAATACTCATAAAAGTGCTGCCTGCCTCAGGATAACCTTGCCTGAGATGATGAAAGGGAAGCATATAAGTCAACATGCAGACAGAAGAAAAGAAACCATATTTGGAAGAAAGCAGAATCGAGGTTAATGTAAGAACTGATATCAGCGTACATGGATACGATGTGCACAGACACACCACAGGAAAAAGACTGGTAACTGTCACCGATAATGGAGTCATTATTAAAAAGAGTCATTTGGTTGCCCCAAAAGAGAAAACAAATTCGAAAAAAAGAGAAGGGCATTTCAACATGAATAATGGGAACCTGGACAGTAGTCATTTGAGAAAATAACTAGTTATATTACAATGAGATGGGGGGGGGAGGCGCACAAAGCTTAAATTAATAAATAGAAAAAATAACCTTGAGTGATGAAATGTGTGTCTGGAAGGAGTACACAAAATATGTAACAAGAGACAAGGAGTGAAGACACACGGGATGACACAGAGTCCTTGTTAGCACTTTGTTTTAATATCAAGGCTATCAGGTTTGCCGTTCATCCTGCCGAGGAATAATTATGAGTCATTTCCCTTCATGACATGTTACACCACTAAGTGTAGTATTGCTTTGGCAGCAGATGTTGCACCCTGCAACATCATCCCTCGCTTTCAGCGCAGCCAGGACGCTCTCGTTTCTTCACACTTTGAAATTATAAGCAAGGATTAGTCTGTTTTGTCAGTATGTTGATGTACAAAAACCCAGAGTGACACCAAGGCTCTTAATAAAAATCTGGCCTCATTATTCATCTACCATCCAAAGGAGAAGTAATGTAAGAAAGGAAAGGAGTAAAACACCCCCGGATATTTTGCTTTGCTTGAAAGGTGAGCAGAGCCAGAAGTTTGGGTGTTCCTCACAGTCAAAAAATTGATTTCCGTAAAAGAAAAAACTAAAATAATTCTTCACATTTGAATGACAAAC